CACAGTAATAGTCACCTGCACACACAGACATCCCCCTAAAATAGCTAAAACTAAAAACAAACTAAAAACTACTTCCAAAAACATTCAGCTTTGATATTAATGAGTTTTTTGGGTTCATTGAGAACATGGTTGTTGTTCAATAATAAAATGATTCCTCAAAAATACAACTTGCCTAATAATTCTGCACTCCCTGTATGCCTGTGCAAATTTACGCTGATTTGTTTTCTATTTCTTTTATAAACATAACGACGTTTGCTGATGACACCACCATCATAGGACTGATCGACAACAACGATGATTCAACCTACAGAGCGGAGGTTCAGCATCTGAAGCAATAGTGTGACAACAACAGTCAAGACCAAGGAAATGGTAATCGACTTCAGGAGAACAAGGCGATCTGAGCTATCTAGCCTCTACATTAATGGTGAGGAGGTAGAAAGCTTTAAGTTTCTCGGAGTCCACATCTCGGCCAACCTTACCTGGTCCACAAACATTTCCCACTAGGTAGGGAAAGCACAATAAAGGCTGTACTTTCTGAGGAAGTTTTGTCAGGCCCAATTACCCCAGAGACTGCTAGTAAACCTCTACCGCTCCACCATCGAGAGCCTTCTGACCTACTGCTGCACACTCTGGTTCAACCGCTGCACTGTAGAAGACAAGATGAAACTGCAGCAGGTGGTGAGGGCAGCAGAGCGAGCAATTAGCACTTCACTAACCCCCCTCAGAGACATTTGGCAGACTTCAGTGGAAAGCCAGTATCATCATCAAGGACCCCTTGCACCCTGGACACTCACTTTCCCCCCCCTTCTCTCAGGCAAAGGCTTCAGGTCCATCAGGTCAAAGACACCTTTGAGACTTTTTACTCTTCAAAAAACAGCAGTTTGAATCATCCACAGTGCAGGTTATAGGGATCATACAAACTCACTTTTCTTGCAGTCTGAAATATTGAAATTGGCTGATCAAGTGAAATTCCAAACAGCACAAATTCTATTCAAAGCAAAAAAAAAAAAAAAAAAAAAAAAAAAAAGGAACTGCCAGGTAATATTCAGAGTATGTTTTTTTTTTTAAAGAAGTTATAATGTAAGGGGTTTTTGTAATTTCAAAATAGGGAAGGTACGTACTACAAGAAAAAGCTTTTGTGTTTCTGTGCATGGAGTGAAACTGGAACAATTTGAATATGGAATCGAAGCAATGTTGAAACAGTTCAAAGAGAGTTAAAAAGATATGATCTTCTTGAACCTATAAAGAAAGAGAAAATGTTGAAATTAAGTAAATGTCTCTATCTAGAAAATTTCATGATGTGATATTATAGTATATATTATAACAAAAATCTGTTCGGTATTTTTATTACAGATTATATCAGTAAGGAAGCTGACTAAATATTGACTGATAACTTATGGCAAAGAGGTCAGATTATATATGTGTGTACTTCTTCCCACTTCCTTTCGACATGTAACTGAATCAGAAGCAATATTGAAATATATTAATATTATTCTGTATAGTATTTTTTTCTCTCTTGTTTTATTTGCTAAATGTACCTGTATATTGTTTAAATGATCGAAATAAATGAACAAACAAACGAACAGACTCAACAGAAGCTTCTACTCGCAGGCTGTCAAACATGCACCACCTCCACCCTGATTGGAGGATAACTGCACTGCCAACACTCATGGACATTACACTTTATTTATGAACTATAATCTTTAAACTGTATTTATTATAACCGTACTTATAGTAGCCCCCCCCCACACACACACACACACTCAATGTGCAATCTCACTGATCATACTGCACCTGCTCCTCACATGGCATTTATGTGTAAGCATGTATGTGGAAATATATATGCGTATATATATGTGCGTGTGTATATATATATATATACACACACACATATATGATGTATATGTGTGTATGTATGTGTATGTATAACTTGTATATATCTTTCTTTACTTAAATTCTAAATATATGTTAGACATGTTAGACAATGCTATGAAGCTCGTGAAAAATATAACCAAAAATATGCAATCAAAAGAATGTGCAATATATAGTTAAAAAGGTAATGTTGTTGTTGTTGTAGTAGTATGTTTTTTCCTTTCATTTTTGAGCAAAACTGATTTTTGTGACATGAATGTTTATTAGCATGTATTCACACTTTTTTCTTTGACAAAAGCACTTACTATTTGGAGACACACAGTTGAAACACAGGGCAAAAACGAAACTCCACTCGGCAGCGTGCATCTTCATCAGCTTCTCTAACAATGTAAGCTGCTACCTGCAATGCTTTAGTAAACCCTTTAAGCTTCACAGAAGAAAACCACAAAACCAACAGTTTCATGCATTTAACAGAATGCTTTGCTCTATTAAGCTTCACACAACAGCTGCCAAATGTCTAAGTAAGTTCAGGCAGTACTTTTTAAAAAAAAGTTTTTACAACACGTACAGAGAGAAAATAAAAAATAAAATAGCTTTTGATTGGTTCTATCACTGATGTTTGGACTGTGTTTGCCTGCCAAACCCCCATTTTAATCCTTGAATAAAGAAAAACCTGAAGCCAGTCCAAAGTGACAGACTAGAAAGTAGAGTGGGATCTCAAAATGCTGTGTAACAAAAGAGGTGTGTTGTTGTTGTTGTTGTTGTGTATCCCGTTAACCAGCGAGTACAGGTGATATATGGAAATTTCTTCTTTGATTTATTTGATAGTACAAAACAGTTCAGAGAACATAATAATGATACAACCAGAACGTAAGGCACAATGATGGTACACAGACTGATTCAATTATTTCTTTTTGATTTTTCTTCATAAACACAGTTCACCAAGAAACTTTCAAGGACAAAACAACCACAAAAAATTAAGTTGGATTATATACAAAACTAAAAGTAACAAGGCAGAATTAACAATGATTTTTTTTTTTTAGATGTGAATAATTTATTTATTTGTAGAATTTATTCATTATTATTTCTTTGCTAGTTCTTTTTAGGCTTTTTTGCTCCTCTTTTACATTTTTTTTTAAGTTTTTGTTTGTTTGTTTCCCCTCTGCTGAAGATGAACATGACGAAGAGGAAAATTCTGTGGTCCATTACCTTTTAGTTCCTGTAGTGTACACAAACAAAGAACAGATTTTATTTTACACTTCCCAAGAAAAATCATTATCATTATGTTTCTGCCTGACACACAGATTATTTAAAATACACATAAAAATATTGACAGTCACATCATTATATCCAGGAAGCTTACAATATTGCTTTATAATCAATGTTGTAAGGTAACTTTGACCCACTTAGCAATTCAACCACCCAGATTCTTTTACCATCTCTACTGAATGAGAATGTCAGACATGTCAGGTTCTCACCTATGCATTTCTTGCAGGTGTAGCCGCCAACACACAGCAGAAGGAGAGCAACCACACTAACACAGATGTAAATCATCTGCATGTCCCTCCTTGTACCTGCACGTGATTCCACAACATATTAATAATAGGAAACAGTAGCTTATTCATTTGTCTTTTTGTGTATGTTGAGCCTGAGGTTTGTGACCATAAAAAGGAAGAAACTGCAGGGTGCTGCTCAACTTAACTTAAACAAATAAAAATCCACTTACCTACTTCAACCATCACCACTTGAAAACAGTGGTGATGGATGTTATCCTGTATACAGGAGTAACATCCAAGGTCTGTTAACTCAAGATCATCAATTCTGATGGAGTAGTTTCCCTCCAAGCCCTGAAATGGAAAGGTTTTAACTCTGCCATTTCTGGGGTCCTGGTACTTAACATGTCCTAAAGGTGACAGGTTGACCACCTCCCCTTTGGGAATGTGGCTCCATGTCACCCAGTTGGAACTGGCTGGCCGAGCAGTGCACGGTAGGAACACAGATGAGCCAAGTGAAATGCTCAGTCTGCTCATGCTGCAAAATTCTCCTAAATCTTCACATGATTCTTCATCTGAAAGGGAAAATTAAATATGAGAATAAGTTCAGGTTACCCGTTTCATATTCAAATGAATAAAGAGCAAGCAGAAGAACCTATTTCTCCTCCTTACAGTAGATCTCCAGACTTTATTTCTTCAAGTAAGCATTAAAGGATGTGAATCTATTAAATATAAATCTTATTTCTCTGTATTGCTCAATATTAAAAAATAATCTTGAAAGATAGTACGGATATATAGTTAAAAATGCAGAGAAAATATTTGTATTATTATTAGTTTGGTATGAGCAGTGATAAAAGTTTCTCCTGTATTTTCTTCAAGCTTCGTGACTAATCTGTAAGATTTCGGTTTGATTCTCCAGGATATCATGACTATAGTCACGATTTTGAGTTCGCTTTCTAAATGCTTCTTCATACTTCAGAGTGCAAACTTCCTCCTACAATAAACAAGATCACACAACATTGGACAAAAAAGTTTCTATTTATTTTGTCTGTTCACATTCTATTCACGTTTAGACATGTTTGAAAGCAAAACTGCGGAAGACGCAAGATAAACAGGTTGCAAAAATCCTGGAAATTCATCCGCTTCGAATGTTATCAGTGACAACATCTGAAGCGGGTGGAAAATTCTCACTGAGTTTATGTTATGTGCTTTATTTCAGTGAAAGCTATGGTCTGAGAGTTCTGCTCTGAGTTTTTTTTTAATCAAATGGTAGAGAATTTAATGCGTTATGAAATGTCTCATGAATGTTAGTTGATAGTTTAACGATGTAAATACATTAAGAGTAACTTTCATCAACAGATTTCTGAATTTAGTCAATCAAAAGAACTTTAAAAAGCGTGTTTTGATCAAAAACGTTTACTGATTAGACCTTTCTTTTTTTTTCTTTTTTTTTTTACACTTTTCACAGAAGCACTTACCATTTGAAGACACACAGACGACTCACAGGGCGAAAAGAAAAATCCACCTTCCAGCGTGCATCTTCATCTGCGTCTCGTTATATAAAATCATCCCGCTGGTGATGGTACGTCTTTAGACAACAAAGCTACGAAGTTTGGGTTTGGACCGCCTCCTTACTTCAGATTTCTTCTTAAGGCCCTTTCACGTGTCATCCTTGCGCAGGGGCCATGCTAATCTTCTCTGTATCGTATCCAATTTAGCGTACGCGCTTGCCGAAGCAAGCACGTGGTCACGTGGGACGCGGCATGCGCAGCGCTGCGCTCCGAAACCCATTCTTTTTTAATGCTTGCGCCGCGCAATAGCGACCCAAGTGACCAATAGAAACGAAGCTTTGAACCGCGCTAAGTTCAACCACACAACGAACAAAAACATTCTGTGCGTACCCGAGGCTTAGAGTGGCATGGGAAACAGATGGGGTGGCAAAATCAGAGGCATTTCTTTACAAATCCAGGTGTTAAGTGTTATGTGATATGTATGGTTAAAATACAATAAATGCAGCAAGTAGGCTATACACGTTTCATATATGGAAAGTTTGTAACTTTCTTATTGACTTTAGCTCAAATAATTAAACACTTCAGTTAAAAAATGTGAATGTTGATTCTGTGTACTATATATGTAATAAACAAGCATGTAGCCCAATAAGTATAAAATTCAGAAGGCTACACAACATGAGGTGGATCTGTCAAAAAGTTTCTCTTCTTATGTCATTGTTCTGGGTCAGCTGACCCGGCATTTTGAGTTTATGCTGTTTTGTGATTTCTTTGTGTTAATGTTTTAGTTTTCTGTCATTTAGTATTGAGTTTAGTCCTGGTTTTGCTTCTATGTTTAATTATATTTCTGTTTCCATGTTTTTTTGCATATATGTCACTCCCTGTTTCCTATTTGAGTCTGTCATGTCGCATCATGTCCATATCGTGTCTCCCATTTCTGTTCCCGTGTTCCCCACGTGATGTGTGTTCTCCCCAACCCATCATGCTGCTCGCTCTCCCTAATTTTTTTATTTTTTGACACCTTAACCTTCATTACAAAGAGTATAACAATCAACACCTTTTGAAAAGCTTTTTTCAAAATTATAAGAGCGATATAGATACCCTTTGTCCCTTTGGTAAAATCGTCCCAGAGACTTGCTAGTTTTTGTTTTCATCCTGTACCTTTACACAGACTTTATGTAAATCTGTGTAGGAATTTTTTTTTAAAGATGTGCCGATTGCCAAATTGGCCAGCAGGTGTCACTGTGAAGATGTGTTTCACTGTTTCAAAATCTCTATACAACAGGTGTTGTGCCAGAAAGTGAATTCCAGTATTTAAACTGCTGTAAATGATTTGTTGGCCCATAATATGCGAAACATATGTCAAATGCATGAATGATAACGAGTCATCATGAGCCACAAACAACATTCCTGTGACAAGATGGAAGCTGCAATCAGTTTTTGCCAGAGTGACTTTTGTATAAACTTTATCTATCAAGTTAAAAAGTGTCCCTGACAAATGTGCATTTGAAACTCAAATGCACAGTAATAAAGAGATATTGCGCAAAATAGGAAAGTGGCTATTTGATGTCAAAAACCAGTACAAAGCCTATGATAATCATGATAGTGATAACAATGGATGTTATGATAATAAGGTTGCCAACTATAAATGCGGGTAATGATGATGTTGGACCAAATGACAGCATTTCCATAGTTGTTGTTAAAACATGTTTGTCAGCTTGTCGTTACAGTCTTGGGTTTTCATAAGCATGCCTTTGCCTATACAGCCAAATGTTGATCAAAGCAATTTTAATGAATGAAATGAATGAACATCATGAAAATGAATAAGACTGAAACACAGTTTCAAAATGGTCTGAACAGCAGGAAGGGCCAGTCTCCTCAAAACTTAATTCAGACAATGGCAACCATCAATCCATCTTCTTCCGCTTTATCCGGGGCCGGGTCGCGTGGGCAGCAGCCTAAGCAGAGAAGCCCAGGTGAGGGTAGGGACGTAGATCAACCGGTAAATTGAGAGCTACGCTTTTACACTCAACTCCCTCTTCACCACGACGGAGCGGTGCAGCACCAATCCGTCTGTCGATCTCCGGCTCCCTTCTCCAATGACAACCTTCTCCCAGAAATCACAACCACATCAGCTCACCACTGGATGTCTTTTAAATTCCCAATCCGGCACACAGGGAGAAACTGGTTTTACTCATAAACCTTCTACTTCACAACTTCTATGGAAGCGATGACCCTTAGTGACTGCTGTTAGGGTAATGATCCCACGTATTCACTGCTGCTTCCTTATAAAGCTGCCCGACGAGATCATCAATGTAAGAAGATTTTTTACATAATACAATATAATCAAGTGTGCCTTATATTCAAGTGTTCATATATTTCAACATAACCAAGCTTATTGTTAAAGAGAACATGATGTATTCCTTACTTCAGTGTGTGAGATGTCAGATAAGCATGATATACTTCTGTATTCGTTATTTCAGAGTGTGTGTGTGTGGGTGTGAGGTCAGATAAGCGCTGAGCTAACGTCTAACCTCTTCCCGACTCCTCACAGAAGAGGAAGTACTATGTAACCTGCTTTGCCCTATAAATAAAGCAAGCAAGCCTGCAATCGGTGTGTGTGTCTTCTCAGGGACATTCACCCGTGCGCACGTTCTTAAAACTCTCTGAGTTGGTCTGCAGTGTCTTATTTCTCTTACTTGTGATAGAACAAATGTCTACCCCTGACAATCAATGTAGGTGTCTGATTTCCATCAGGTGTTTGCATCAGAAGGCATGAAACTCCTTTGCTACTTCTGTGGCTATTGTTAATTCTAGAGCTGCAACTCAAATAAAAACAAAGTGAAATCTGCCTGAGAAGCGAATTAAAGTATCTTCTATACTGTGTGAAGACAATTATAAATTGGAGGCCACCCCCCACTTAACAGCAACACTTATAAGGAATTGTCTGAACTGTAGGATGCCAGTGACTCATGATAACATCCCACGACAGGAAGAATTACATTCTTGGCCACACTTAAACTCTGTGGAAATTCTGACGCTAATGTGGAGCTGATAATTAGAGCAAATGATTCAAAGGTAATGGAACCAAAGAGGTGGCACGTAACAAGGGTGAGGGTCCTTATGGTATTAAAACCTTTTTGGGCTGAGTTGTTCATGGACCACTAATAGAAGGCTATGAATGGGGGGAGCAGTGACCCCACCGTTAGTTAACTGAATCTCCATTGATCACAGAGGGGAACTGCTGGTGAAGCAACACAATCATGACTTCAATGAGAAATCGACAGAGAAAAAACCTGAAATGTCCACTGAAGATCTTGATTTATGAAAATCAAAATCAAGAAAACTAAGAACAAAAAAACAACTCAAAACTCTCCTTTTTAAAATTGCTTTTGGTTAATTTTTGCCTGTATTATATTGTCTGTTTTACCTTTTATGAATTGTTATCTTATGTGCTGCACTTGATTCTGTCTAGAAAGGTGCTACATAAATAAAATTTTATTTACTATTTGTTGTGATATTTTGATACCATAGTAGCATTTACAGGATATTGTTTTATTGTGATATTATACAGAAAAGAGTTACTCAATAAGGCCCATCTACTAGTTGTTTTTCTCTTTCTCTGTGACCCAAGAATTAAGGTGTAAGACTCACAGGCTGGTACCCCAAGGTCGAAAACACCACAGAGACGAGACCACTTCCTTACTCCCATCCGCCCTTTTTCTTTATCTCTTAGAAAAAGGCTCGTTAAAGGCCAGGTGGTTTGTTTCAGAATTCACTAATGAAAGAACTCTGTATTCTATGTCTAGGAGTGTATTTTGCTGGGATGATCATAAATTATAGCTGAACTGATAAACTACACACAGGATACTTCTTTGCTCACAAGGCAGGAAGACGTTTCCTTATTTGGTCTGTACCGGTTTGAACTGAGAACTTGCTGACACACGAACCTTTTTTTCCTCTATATAAACTGTTATGTACTAAATAAACCTTTGAGTCGATTTGGGAAGACAACCTGAAGCAGTCTGTGTTTCCTTGTTCTCCCAAGCTGCTCCCGACGTCGTAACTAACCCAGCTGAATGGCATACCTGAGTGTTACTTTAAATAATTAGGAATCTTAGAAGGAAAGGACAGAACTCTGCTTATCGCTCGTGCCTTGGAGGGAAAACCGGGATGGACATTTTTTCCTTCAATTTGGTGTCAGAAGTGGGATTGACTGACAGAAGGTAAATATGCGTCTTTCATATTTATATAAAGACCGTATTATACCTCTCTCAGTGATCGATCCATAAAAAAACGGGATATGCTGACGAAGTTTCACTTAGTGATCCAGAGAGATACACTGACGACTTCCTCAGTCCCCGAATAAAGTAAATTAACCCTTGTGTGGTGTTGGTGGACCCGCTAGAGTTGTGGCTTTCCAAATTAACACTATCAAACAATTTTATGTTAAATTACTATGAATTAATGTGCTTCTCGTTTTTCTTTTATATAAAATGTTATAAATAAATCAGTTATAATCAAGTGGAAAGACACAACACATTTATACGTAAAAAATAATAATAATAATAATAATTAATTGTTTAATTTTTCTTTTAAAAAAAAACAAAAAAACAAAACAAAAAAACAAAAAACACGGGTCTCAAGGGTTAAAAGCAGTAAATTAAAAGCAGAAAGACACAGGGAGTTGCCTGTTGTTAAGCGAGAAGTTGCTCGTTAAGTGAGAGTTGCTCACCCAAACAAAATTGCTAGCAATAAATTTAAAGTGACCTCAGCTGTGCCGCAGCGAAAATACTAACCTAAATCCTCCTAGCGTGTAAACCCCTCTGGAAATCACTGAACATGGGTCAGAATAATTCAAAGACCACAGACAGGTCCGATAAAAAATCTAAAGTACCTGTAAAACCAAAAATTAATAAAATACAAAATAAAGTCTCAAATAACGGCTCAGTACAACTCCCATTTCCGGTTACGTGTAACCTACGTCCGCGAATCGGTGAAGACGTCCATGATCACGTATCCAGAACATGCGGAAGTGCTTATGTGACTGACTTTGTTTACAACTTACGGACTGTAAGTACAATGCATTCTAATTTATTTCCGGAGCCCTATCCCGAACGATTATCGCCAGAAAACAGGTCAGTAAAACTGAAGGCCAGTGCAGATACTACCACGAAAGCTAAAAGTGTTAAGATAAAGTTGAATTTTGATGTAGAAGGCTCAGAGGAAAGTG